TCTGACTGCATGTTAATATTATCTCTAAAATGCAAGATGATCCCATGGAGCTATGAAACACTGCCAAGAAGGTTGAAGCCCATTTTATATACTAAAGCTAAAAGGGTACCAAGATGTTAAAGAGATGGTGCACAGAAGAAATGCTAACATATTGAAGGTGTGAGGAAAGAGGAAATGAGATTGTCTATAACAGGGAAGAGAAAGGGAAAAGAAGTCTCTGCATACACTGATGACAGAATGAGGAGAACATGCTGTACAGCCAACTGCTCAGATTAGAAATGGGTTACAAAACAGGTTTATGATCTTCTGTTTCGATGTTAACACTTGGTAGACTTCAATTTTAGGGATGATTTATCTTTGGACTCGCTTGGAGTCAAAAGGCAGACTAAAAAACTTCTTATAATCCTGAAGATAATCTGCATTTTGAAAATTTGACTTTTAAATAAGCTCCATTTATATTATCTAAGCTTGGAAAGTAGTGCAATATAGTGGAAAATGTACTTGTCTAATACTCAGTTAACCTAAGTTTCTATCCTGGACATTTCATGAACCTGGCCCCTGACTTGGGGTCAGTCAATTAATATCTTACATATATTAATCTATAAAATCAGAGGGCTGGATTATAGTGCTTGGCACATAGTGAACATTCAATATATGTTGTGTTCTGGTATTCATTCCATGATTCTATAGGATAGTGAAGATGGTATGATCAGCCAAATTCCCATATTACAGAGAAATTGATACAGCCAGTAAGAAAAGTTTTATACTTATGAAATGGAAGAGCTGACACACTCCACCCTTAAATCTTAGTTTTTCTAGCCTTGTATTTCAAATTATCTTTTGAAAACTTCTTACTGTAATACACTGCCAATGAGAGATTAGCAAATGTTTGCTGATGATTTATTATTATATAGTAGATCGAAAAATCATTAAGCTAGGTTTTAAGAAACATTATGCCATTATTTACATAATGCCTGAGAAAGTCGTCTTATTTTCAGAAACTTACTTAACTTCGTTTGCACTTACTAATAGCATACCTCTGCGATGTCTGTCAGAAACGATAAGCAACCTGACCTTGTACTCTTAATTTGAAAAATACGTTTTGCAGAAGCTTGTACAGTTTACATTTCTATCAATTTCCCTATTTATTTTATAAACTACTTTGAAAATATAGTTATTGTCTCAATGGAAAAGTTACCTCTGATTGTTCACATTTGAAATACTGAGTTAAAAAAAAAAAACTAAACTAAAAGAGCATACAATTTCTTCAAGGGAATT